ATTTGGTTCCATGGTAAGGTTGTTCCCCATTCATCCAGAGCTCCTATTTGGTTCCTGAATGTGACTGTTCTCCATTCTTCCAGAGCTCCTATTTGGTTCCATGGTAAGGTTGTTCCCCATTCATCCAGAGCTCCTATTTGGTTCCTGAATGTGACTGTTCTCCATTCTTCCAGAGCTCCTATTTGGTTCCATGGTAAGGTTGTTCCCCATTCATCCAGAGCTCCTATTTGGTTCCTGAATGTGACTGTTCTCCATTCTTCCAGAGCTCCTATTTGGTTCCTGAATGTGACTGTTCTCCATTCATCCAGGGCTCCAATTTGGTTCCTGAGTGTGACTGTTCTCCATTCTTCCAGAGCTCCTATTTGGTTCCTGAATGTGACTGTGAATTTGTTTATCCGAGAATTCTTCCTTCAGACTTTGTGTGTTCCAAAAGTGTCCTTATCTATATGGCGTTGTCCCTACCAAGACCATCCTTACATGCTGGGGAAGGGGTGGAGGTGCGCTGAGTTCGATAATGGTATCGGATTTTATGTTCCTGGCACCTCTCGGAATCCAGTGACCGCCATGTTTCAAACTGTATTCATACCCCCACTCACAAGGCTAACTGGACAAAACTTTCCAACTGTATTTATAACTCCACTCACAAGCTAGCTGGATCAAACGTGTCACACGTGTTCGGGTACGAGAACCAGGTGTATTTTCGGGAATCGGACCCCCCCCCTCTCCAGGATAGCTATAAAAATAACTTGGGATAAATGAGGAGCTTGGTCGTACACTGTGGCCTCTGTGAGTCGTGGGAGAGTCTTTGAACCCCTCAATGTAGCGAGGGTATTTAATGCTAGTGTTAAAACTAAACAGACCACTCTTCCATATTGAATGTTAAAACTAAACAGGTCACGCGTCTAAAGTGTATATTAAAACTATGCAGTTCACTCTTAAGAAAAGTAAGTTAAAATTAAGCAGGTTACTCCTCTAAAAACTACATTAAACTAAGCAAACCACTCCTCTATTGACTGTGAACTTTGACTTTATCCCTGCACGTACTGAAAGTAATGCAAGTAGTTTTAGAGTGAACACCCGCAAGCAATAATGTCCACGTCATCCGATGGCCAACTGGTAATTTTAAATAACAATACTATTTTGAATATTGAAGTATGCCTTTAAAAACGATTACAGTAGGAGGTTCATCCCGCAGTAAATATGTGCGTATCAACGTTTATAAATATCTCGAACTTTGTCCTTTCACGAGTATCTCTCCCACACTGAAATATACTCTTTGACGTTCATGTTGGTCATTTATTAAACTAATGGCTGAACGTGTTTGCTCAGTACTTTCTTGTAACTCTTGTTGAGTAGCTTGATCTTTACTGTAGCTTGAAAATAATCTTAACCATTTCGATTATTTTATCTTACACTTTCTGTATATGTAAAATAATAATTATAATACAATAAATAGTAAATTTTTTTTATGATCAAATTTTACATAAACATTGGATTCTAATTTAAAATGACGCTGGTTGGTCTTATGGTAAGGGCCTGGATTTCAGAGCTGGTGAGCCGAATTCGAATTCGTGCGATACTACAAAATATACTTCCGCATACTTTAAGTTGTGGATGCGTTATAAGAATGACAGTCGATCCCTTAGCGTGAATGGTGGGTAGTAAAGCGCTACTGATCGGCTTACTTCCCTTTGGTCAGTAGTTCAAAATAAGGGAGCGGCGGTAGAGGGGTTTAGTCGCTTTACCATAAATTTTCTTTGTTTGTAGTTAAGTACAAAGTTACACATTAGGCTATCTGTGCTCTTCCCACCACAGGTATCGAAATCCGTTTACTAGCGTTGTAAGTCCGCAGACATACCGCTGTGCCATAAATACAAAATACAAATTTAAAAATGTTATTCCTCAAGTGAATGTCAAGTAACATCGGGTAGAGGTGATACCAAGAAACGTAAGCAGCGTGTACAACATCACGAATCCCCGTCACACCAAACATTCTCGCCCTTTCAGACGTGGAGGCGTTATAATGTGACGGTTCGTTGGTAAAACAGTAGACCAAGAGTTGGCGGTGAGTGGTGATGACAAACAAACAAACAAACAAACCTTTTTTATCACACCTAAGGTGTTTTTGATTAGATATAAATAAACACCTAACATTAATAATATTGTGTAGTTTTGTTTATGATTGTGAAAAGTTAAAAAATGATATCCACCTGTTTAAGTTTGTGTTGTGACGTGGTCTATCCTTGTTCTTTAGAATTATTTAGTGAAAAGAATACGAAGACAACTCCACATAACCGTAACGAATTAGTATATATTTTTTCTATAACATTTTAACAGGCTGCGTTCAATTAAAGCAAGTTGTAGGCCCAAGGTCACCAATAACGTTTCCACAGAAATTCCTCGTTAATGGTACTATGCCTAACCTACAAATAACAAACACACACAACTTATTTTATAATCAAAAAATGAAATTAAAAGACACAATAACTGTTACACCAACCTGAACCACTAACTTCTCTACATTATCACTCACTTGTCAATAGTTTCACTAACTGGCTTCTCGTATTTATACGTAATATGCTCTTGTTTAGATGTTAGACGAAGCTTCTCGATCATTACATTATTATACATAGCAGCTCCCTCTAGCAAACAACTAAATTATAACATTGAATATATATAGCTCATAACACTTGTTTAGAGAATTGAATGTTTGTAACAGTGGATCAGTAAGATCGTCCCCAAATAGATGGTGAAGAATATTTAACTTTTAAAGATAAAGTTTTCTGCCTACAACTTTATTTGAACTACATTCATGCACTTATTTATTTGGTGAATCGCATGTTTCACCCAAATTTATGTATCCGGACAAAACATTAGAATCACTACTATTCGCCGATTCATTATTCTACACTCCAGAAGAAAAAAGCCATTAAAATTCTTCTTTTTGAAAAAAAATCTCAATTCACAGTTTCCATGGATACAGTCAAGGATATAATTCCCTTAGTAACAACAACAATGACACTTTCAACTATTTATTTTTCTTTTTGTTTGATTTGACAGCCCCCATAAAAATCCCTTCAAATTTCTACCCAATTTCCTGTGTTTCCGCAAGACAATTATGCGACCTACAAAACCAGTAACTTTACAGAGAAGAAGTAATTCAAATAAATATAACGACGCACAATATATATATATATATGCGTTGGCCCGGCGTGACCAGGTGGTTAGGGCACTCGACTCA